AACATTTAAACAAGCTAAATCAACTAAAAACATATAAAGAGATGCTAGAGAATTAGATTGCTCAATCAAAAGATATGCTGATTGATCAAAATGAATGGTGGCAGTCTCAACAAGATATGATGCCTGCCCATACAATGTGTACAGTCAAAGCCTGGAATGAAAAAAATAAAATCTGTTTCCTAGTCAGCTTAATCACGAGAGTTAAGGGATTGGATAGACAAAGAATTTTCTAAGGTTCGAATAAAATCCATATAAAGCCTAAAATAAGAACTACCTTTAGGATAAAAGTTTCATCTGAAATTTGCAACAACCTTGGTAAACCGATGCAAAAATGATGTTTGATTTTGTAAAAAAAAAGCACAAACATTTTATTTACGATATTTTAATCTTTAAGCAACAAAATCTTAACTTTTTAAATCAATTTGTATGTATATATATATATATATATATATATATATATATATATATATATATATATATATATATATATATATATATATATATATATATATATATATATATATATATATATATATATGTACATATATACATCACACAAACATACATTACATTACATATGTATATACATACATTACATACATACATACATACATACATACATACATACATACACAGGCTTTCCCAGGAAAGGCATGTGGTCGCACGCCTTGTTTGTCCACACATAGAATAATTTTTTTTGATTAACTGACCACGTTTTATTATTACGCGTTTCAAGAATTTGCGCCAAAACAAAGCTAAACAAAAATACCGCAAAAATACAAGCAATGCTAAAGTAAATAAAAGAAATCTGTTTGTGCTTTAAAATTAAAAAAGTAATGAATATTAATAAAACAAAGATTTACCTATATTTCATTTATTTATTTTTTCTTGTTTTTTAGAGTGGTAGTTAATTCAGCTATGAAAAATCAAATCATTACAAAACAAGAAAAAAGAAAAAGATTATAGTTTATATAAATTTAATGAAAATGAAAAGACCTTGTAATGTAAAATTTGTTTACCACTTTTATCAGTCGATAATACTTAAAAATTCACGCTAGAATTATAAAAAATTTTTAAATTTATGTTTTTAATCGTTTCGTAAATACATTTAAATGTTTAAATGTATTGATACACAAAAGAGCGCAAATATTTTTGCAATCATTAATTAACATTTTGTTTTGCAATTATTAATTGACATTATGAACGAGTGTTAAAAGTAAATGTCCCGAGGGAGCTATTTTTGTAACAATAATTACAGAAGCAAGGTAATTATTTTAAGCAATGCAATTATTTTAAACTTCTTTCGTAATTACAAAATTATGCAATTGAATAATTTCAACGTAATAAAAGGCGAGACTTGACTCAGAATAATCAGGTTAGAATAAGTCGAGAGAGAGTAGAGAAATGAGTATTACAAAATCACTAAAAACTGTTCAATCGTGGAAATATAATTTTCTTGGTCAAGAAGTTATAAAATTGAACGATATAGAAACTGTAGTTAAAATCTGGTGCAAACTGTGCGCTAAACATAAAAACAGCATTCACACTTCAATATTGGGGATTGCTAGAAATTCCTTAAATGCTTTTACAAATGGAACAAATGTTGTAACACATCATCAGGTTTAATATTTATAATGTATAGTACATTAAAAAGGTAAAAAATATATAGCTATACATTAAGATGTAATCTTACTTATTATACCTATATTACAGGTTATGAGGCATTTATCAACAAAGGCACATAAAGAGGCTGCGCGATTGGAGGAAGTTAGTAACTCTCCTTCTATAGTTAAAATAAATGAATCTCAGAGTCCTATAACAGATACCGATAACTCAAAAAAAGCACCAACTTTTGAAGCAATCTTAAAGTTAATGCGCACTGCATATGAAATGGCATTGCATCCTGCTATGCCACATAGTCATTTTGAGATACTTATAAAGGTTCAACGTGATAATGGTGTCCAATTAATGCACGGAAAAAGCAACAAAAATGCTGGTAAGTTCATTTAATATATATATATATATATATATATATATATATATATATATATATATATATATATATATATATATATATATATATATATATATATATATATATATATATATACACATTGGTGTGGGAACAGGTGGGGGGGGGGATGCGGTAGCCCTTAAGAAATACCGTAACTATTGTTTTTTTATATTTAACACTTTAAATATATACAATTTATGGTTTTATATTTTTCAATATTTCAATGTAATTTTACATAATTATTTTGAAATAACTTTTAAATTAAAGTTAAAGTTAATTTAAGTTGTATTTTTATTTTAGCCAGAGAATTTATTCATTGCATTGCCGAGGTAATAAAAGTGAAAGTAGCGACTATTATTGCTAGCAAATCTTTTATGGCTTTGCTATCTGATGGTAGCCAAGCGCGGAAAACAGGCAGTGAAAAAGAAGCCATATTAGTTAGAGTTGAAAATGCTGGTATCCCGTGTTATTTTTTTGTTGCATTGTGTAATATGACGGATTTTGGTGGAGTTGATGCTGACTCCTTGAAATTGGCATTGGATAGTGTATTTATTGAAAACGTTATAGCTAAATGCAATATTCCATTATCCGTTACGAATTATCGTACAAAGCTGGTATCAGCAACAGCTGATGGAGCGAATGTTAATCTAGGTATCTATAGTGGTGCGTTAACTCAATTAAAAAAAACAAGACCATGGTTAGTTAACATACACTGTGTTAATCACAGATTAGAGCTTGCTATAAAAGACGCTATAAAGCAATTTAAAGACTTAACCGATTGCCACAATTTTTATACAACTCTATTTTATCTTTTAAAAAAGTCAGGTAAACTGAAGGAGTCATGCAAACATGCTGCAGCTGCTTTATCTATCGAGTATTACACTCTAAATGAAATTCAAGGAACCCGATTTGCATCGCATCGAGTTAAGGGTTACACTAGTTTAATGCATAACTGGCCAGCTTATCGAGTTGCCTTACCAAATGCACTAACTAACAAAGGGTATGGTAACCAAACAAGAGCCAAAATACAGGGGCTTGTAAAGAAATTAACAAAATATGCTTTTCTATGCAAAACCGGAGCATATCAAGATGTACGCGCGGCAATGAGCCCATTGTCGCTTTTTTTTGAAAAAAATGTTTTATTTGCTTTTGAAGTGAATCCTCAAATTGTCCAGACAATAGCACAGTTGACTGCACTGACTGCAGAAAAAGCTGACGAAGCGTACAGTAGCTCTGCACGAAAATTTATAATTAAAGAAGAAGGTGGTATTATTACTCTTGAATCTGAATATATAATCGTTGGCGACAAAAAAAAAAAAAAAGAATATAAAATACATCGACATCAAACTTGAAGGAATGATAAACCCAAAGCAAGAAGACGTTGAAAGAGCTTTGGAGCTGAGAAAAGAATGCATTAACATATTAATACCATTAATTAATAGTCGATTTGCATCATTTAAAGATAATCCCGTGTTCGCGTCCATGACGTGGCTTGACCCTAAATATTGGATGGACAATCAAGATAATGGATGGGAAAATATTAATTACCTTATGGTATATTTTTCGCGAACCGCTCGAAGCAGCAAACTTCAAAGAAGCAACAGTTTTTGAAGAATGGAAAACTTTGCAATTATTCGTAAGATCGTTTTACTCCAGTTCAACTTTCATAGAAGTTTGGGAAAAACTATTTACATATAAAAGAAAAGATTTTCCAAATATCCTTTTGTTATCCGAGTTGTGCCTTTGTTTATCATCGTCGAACAGCGTAGTAGAGAGATGTTTCAGTACACTATCTACTATCCTTACAGACCATCGGCTCAGAATGAAACATAGTACCATGGAACAGTGCTTGTTTATTGCTGGAAATTGCCATGTATGGACAGATGATCAGCGTAAAGATATATTAAAAGAAGCTGTTTACAAATACTTGGAAAAACGTAGAGTTGTTAAATTTCCTATTCAACCAAAAATATTAAACAAAGAAAATACGTCGAAAACTGATAATGCTGAAGTTCATACAAATATTAGACAAGCGGCTATACCAGTTGAATATGAAATAAGTTCTTCCGAACCATTGGGTTCAGATAAGCAATATCAAGGATCCAGCAACAGTGATGACTGTTCCAACGATGGTAGCACATCAGATTCAGATGAAGAACACAGTGAATTCATGGGCGAAGACTACTTTACCAATGATTGCAATGAAACAATTTAGATTTATTAATTTTATTCAATGTTTATTTAAATGAGCTTTTAATACTTTTTTCCACATTAAAATCTTGTTACTTATAAAATCTCAAATAATATATTTAATAATAAACAGCAATTTATTTTCTTGTCTAATTATTTGGAAATAACGTCATCGCCATTGCATAAATCTTTGTAAAAACTTAATAAAATGAAAATGTTTAACCAAATTTGTATAGCGTAAATAATGAATTAGTTTTTTAATATATTGAATGATGAAATTCGTGAATAAATTATAAATCAAGTCTTTTTATTTTCGTGAAATTTTTATGACTTATAGTCGTCTTTTCCTTGACTTGTATCAAATTTCCTCGCTGAAAATAACAAGCCTAAAATAAGAAAACAAAAATAGTATAAAAATTTTGAAAAAAATGTTTAATTTATTTAGACTTTTCTTTTTTTGTTACAAGAATATTTTTTTGTTAACTTTTTTTTTATTAAAATATTTTTCTTACATCCTATTTCAATTTTATGCTTTAGTAAGATTTCGTTTCCTATTTCTAGTATTATTTTTTATTCCCTGTGGATGAGTTCTACTTTACCGCGAAATATTGCCGCGGTCACGTTTTCTAAAAAATTTATTTTATATGTGGACAAACAAGGCGTGCGACCGCACGCCTTTCCTGGGAAAGCCTGCATACATACATACATACATACATACATACATACATACATACATACAAAATAGTTTCAGTATATAAAAATAATATAACTTATATAAAATAAAATAAAATACAACCTCCACCCTGCATCATTCTGTAAAATTTTGCTTCAATGTGGAGTTGAGGATGCTTTGACTTTAGACATTCAAGTTTGATGGCTACTTCTTCACGGCTTGTTATATGTGTACCTAAATAAATGGATCATAAATGCTTTATTTTGTCTTTATAAAAATGACTAAGTATGATGTTTAATAACATATTTACATTGTAAACACACACAAACTTTAGTTTAAGAAGTTTGAATTTAACTTAATTTTGAACAAAATTTTTGTGAAAAAAGTTTAAGTCCAACATATAACTTGTTAAGTTTCAGGGCGCGAAAAATTGCTTTTTTTTTAATAAACGTTGACGTTCGTTTCTTTATTTATTGACGAACGCTAATTTAAGAGGTATGTCAAATATCCACCCCACCCCCCTCCACACATACACACTTTTTTTAAAAATTTTTTTATATATTTTTTTTGTTTTAGAGAAATTCAAGATATAGAGGATATTTTTCATTAACAGATTGTTGCGCACCTCCATTTCGAACCCGTGTGTCGGCCAGAATAAGCCAGTTTCATTTTAACTTTTTTTTTTTATTTAAATAATTTTTTTATTTAATTATAAGGGAGTTTTATTTTCAAATTAATTTTATTCTAGTGAATATGATATATAATAATTAGATATATCAAAGATACTTATCGAATTTTTTCAATTTTTATTAATTTAAAACAATTTTTCACGCATTTGCAAAGTGTGTGCAAATTAATGATAACTAATATGCAATAAACTTTTCACTGTAAACTGTTATCTATTAATACAAAATAGTGAATTTTTCTCAATTTAGTTTGTTAAATTATAAAAAAAGATATAAACTTGATAAAATTTAAATAAAAGGGAACTATATAAAAATAAAATAAAAGTTATTTTGACATTTTTATTTTTTAAATATTTAAAAATAATAATATTGTATTAAGCATTTATTAAGTTATTAAATTTATAATTTAATAACTTAATAAATGCTTAATAACTAATAATCAAATACCTGATATGCTATTATTATATTTATAATATTATGTATTTAATAAAAAAATATTATATTATTGGTTGTTGTTAAACGCACAGTTAAAAATGAAAACTATAATCAACATAATAGTTCTATAAAATCTATTAAATTTTATATTTTATATTTCTGCAAATTTTTTTTAAAACTTTAAAAACAGCAAATAACCATTAATTTAATGATAATAAGAAAATTTAAAAAAAGCACGCCTTTGGAAAAAGAATGTTTTAGCATGGTTCCATTTAAAGTAATTGCAAATGCATTCATTTTAAGTTAAACTTGCCATTCTTTTGTAAACGCATGTAAAAACCATAATAAATATAATTTTTTCTACAGTTGCATACTTAAAAGAAACGCTATTGAAGAAAGTATTAGCGCGGTTTCTTTTAATGTCATTGAAACTGCGTTTTACATTTTAGTAACTTATTTTTTTTATATTAATTATGTTTTTTTTTATAATAAATAAAAAACTATCAATCGCATAATTATTTGGAAATAAAAAATTGCTGAAGATATTCATTCGTTTTTAAAAAATTCAAGCAAACGCCAACGTTTGCTTAGGTAAAAGTAAGGAAACGTGACGTTCGTTTTTCTGTCTTTTTTTTAACAAACGTTTACACATTCGTCGATTTGTCGCGCCCTGAGTTTTTATATATACAACCTATCAATTATATCCTATCAATAATTTTAGTACCAACCAAAAGTAGTTTAAGAAACCTCTTTTTGGTAGGCATTAGATTACTGATTCAAAGTGAATACTTTGAAATGTTTTATTATATAAATTTACATCATTATTATCTCAAAGTTTAATTTAACTTTAATAGGAAAACGTAAAGAAAATTTTAAATATAAAAAAAGTATATATATATATATATATATATATATATATATATATATATATATATATATATATATATATATATATATATATATATATATATATACATACATATATATACATACATATATATACATATATATAAAAACATATATATATATATATATACATAGTTTCTCTGGGACTGGGGGGTACTGCCGCCCAAATTTTTTTTCCTAGATTAGCCCCTTAGGGTGTTTTATTTCCGACAATTTTTCGAAAATGGTTACGTTACATGCATAACAGGGTAAATAATGGGCCAAAAAGAAGTCTGTAAATTTTTCAAAATTTTAAAATATCATCTTGAGGTCGCCGTCTTGAAAAAAAGGTGTTTTTTACCCTTTTCTTAACTTTAAATTTAAATTACTTAAAAAATAATTAATTTAATTTTATGTTATCTGGTGTGTATAATAAAGGTTATCGGATAAACATTTGGCCAAATTTTCAAAAATATTGGTTAATGTCTAGAAGTCGCCAAATTATAAAGTTTTATTTTTTCAACATATTTTTTTGCTAAAAAAATGCTTAAATGCGTTAAAAAAAACTTCACCTTAAATAAAATGCATAACTTATGTTTTGAGCATAATTGACCACTAAAAGTTGTTGCGTGATTAAATAGTTTGCAAAATAAACATCTGGACGTATGTATATAAATTTCATAAACTTATAAAAAAAAAATTGGTTCTTATATCAATTAGCAAAATTGAAATTTTAAAACAATTTTAAAACTAGTTGGATAAGCAAATATTTTATTGTAACAATGAACCTAAGAAAAAATAATCACGATTGGTTAATTGATAACCCTGAATCCAATAAATTATAAAGTTTCAGTCGTCTACCAACAAAAAAATATGCTTTGGGTAGATACTCTCATTTACATTTTTATTTAAAAGGGGACACTTCTGCAAGAGATATTTTTAAACTTGTTCTTGGTGAGCTTAACTTTGCGAAAAAGCTGAAGTACCAATTCGATCAGATAACTTGTCTTTTATTGCTTACGAAAATGTTTGTGGAAAATATGGAAATAAAAAAAAATGATCATGCAAGTCGAGATGTTAAAGCTGGAAATAAAAAAATTGTCAGATTTTGTAATGAACTTGAGCAACTTTGCAATATTTCAGCAGTAAATGTATATGAACAGTTATTAGTATCATGTAGACCAAATTAGAAAGAGGATTGGGCATTTTATGAAGATCAAAAGAGTAGCAGAAAGAATCACATGACAGGTAGCATCGATCTAGGTGTTTCAAAATTTTTAGAATGTCGAGAAGACTAAGCATAGACTTTCGGAGAAGTTCAACCGAAGATCAAAAATCTTTTCTGTCTTTGAAGTCAGTTGAAAGTGCTGATGAAGAAGATCAAAAAGATACAGAGTTTACTTCTTTACTACTAAAGAAAAGAAAGATGCCTTTAACAAATTCACTAGAGATATCAGCAAAGAAGCTCTCAGAAGTAACAGCATCTGTGGCAGATCGATGTTGTTTATCAGTTCACCAACAACTTCTATTTCAATCCACTATCATAAGCAAAAGTGGAGGCAAACTTGAAATTTCTATGTCAGTATCAACTGTGCATCGTCAAAGACAAAATCACGGGAGAATATTGTTCTGTCATTTAAAGCTGACTGGGAGATAAACAAACCTAAAAAGCCCATTTTGCACTGGGATTCGAAGCTTTTTCATTTAGACATAGCTCATAATGAAGAACGTGTAGCAGTTCTTATTTATTTATTTATATAAATCCTATGTATATTTTTTATTTTTGTATTCAAAGAAACTAACTTAACTTTTATTTGCAGGCCAAAACTTATTGGTGTACCTTTGATTAAAGATTCGACAGGTAAAACTCAATGTGACGATTGGAAGATTCAAATATTTTAAAAAACATTGTTGGTATATGCTTTGATACAACAGCAAGCAACACAGGTAATAAAAAAGGAGCAGCAACTTTAATTGAAATTGAGTTAAAGAGACCTCTCCTATGGCTAGCATGTCGCCATCATCATAATTAGCTATACATCAAACATGCATTTACCGCATTATGAGGAGGTAGCAAAAGTCCAGATGAACCTATTTTTAAACGTTTCCAAGCCGAATTTTCTAGAATTGATACTGATTACTCAAACTTTAATTTTTTTGAATGGCCTACTGATATTAAATCAGAAATATTTAATCAAGCAAGTTTAGTTCTGAAATGGGTTTAGTTCTGAAATTGGCTTACCAATGCCTCAAAGAGAAAATATTTCTGTGAGAAGATTATCTTGAGTTGATTGAATTAACTATTATCTACCTTGGGGGAAAACTATCAATGGACAGAATATTCAAAATTCACAAACCAGGTGCAATTCACAATGCAAGATTTATGCCACATTCTATATATATTTTAAAAATGGAACTCTTATCTAATAAATTTATTATGTCCAATAATAAGCAAATTATGATCCACCGCATGGCTAAGTTTATTAGTCTTTTTTATTTAATGCAATTTCTCCTCTCAAGGATTTCCGTATTTACTCCAGTTGATGACTTCAAATTTTTTGTTGTTATGAACTGGTATCATAAAGAAGATTCAGATATCGCAACCGCTGTGATTTCGTTGATAACACGTCACCAAACAGACCATCACCTTTGGTATTTAACAGAAGTGCTTGTTATTTTATCTTTATTTAATGAAAAATTGTCAGAATTTACCAGAACAATAATGGCAAAGAAATTTTTTTCTAATCCAAGATCTAAAACATTTTAAATTGGGAAAGCAAAATTTCCGACATTAAATTTTTCAACTTTTATTTATTTTTTAATTGGACCACGGTCGTGGCTTCTTTTTTATTTATTAGGACTAATAAACAACCAGGAATGGCTCGAGATGAATCCACAGGAGTGGAAATTCTTCCACTCCTGTGGATTCATCTCGAGCAAGATAACTGAACTGCAGAAAATTTTGTTAAACAGTTAGAGGTAACAAATGATTGCGTTGAAAAAGGAATCAAACTTATTAGTGATTTCTGCGAGTGTGCGCAAAATGAAGAACAATGATAATTTATTTTACAAGTTGTTGAAGCAAAATCCATCTTATTCGAAATTAAAACTAATTAATACTTTATAGTATTTTTTATATTACTACTATCTTCTTTATTAATTATTATTCTTAGAAAAGCTGAAGCCAAAAAATAGTCTATTTGAATTTTTTTTTTTTAACATTTAAAA